TACAGTTCGAGAGTTCTTCAGATTAATCATGATGTGGGAGCAGAATCTCACGTCCCAAGCCTCCCCGCAGCAATTTTGTTTTTTAGGCACGAAGTAGCCTTATAGTATACCCAGGATTCAGCCGGCCCGAGATTCGATTTGTGTGGCCCTTTATGCATTTCGGAAATTTTCTATACGATTTTAATGAGATTTTGCAGACTTGTAGAACTTTGAACGCTGATTCTGATGCTGAAATCTGGTTAAAAATTTGGTGGCCAATTTTGAGAAATTTCCTGTCAAAATCGCCGTTTCCATGGCAAAACTCGACTCGTCAAAGGAAAAAGAAGGTAGTGGGGGGAGCCGAGCCGAGCCGGACCAATACACTGTCAGAAAAAAAGTCCGTAAATTTACGGAGAAAGTTACTCTAATTTTGGGAATGGAGGCTCCGTAAATTTTCCATATTTTTACGGAGATTTTCCATATTTTTACGGAGATTTTCCGTATTTTTACGGAGATGAACCGCATTTTTGCAGAAATAAACGCATTTTAACGGTTTACTTCCCTCCTTCCACCTTCGATGTTAATGCAAACAGTGTCCTTTTAGGCGAAAGTGATATTCTCCAAAACTGTTTGAAGATCCACTTGACCGCCATTAGGATTGGATAAATGGACGGAAACCCAAAGGCGAGGTCGCTTTGGAGAAGGCGTACTCTTGGAACACCTTATCAGTTGGTCACCCAACCCAACGATAACGTGAATTAGTGTGTTCTTTTTGATAAGTAAGGCTTCTATTTCATTTATATACCTAACTTCCATATTTTTACGGAGAAAATCCATAATTCAAAAAAAAGGAGATCTCCGTTAAAAAAAATGGACAGTCTCCGTTAAATTTCCGTATTTTTACGGAGTTTTCTGACAGTGTAGCGGAGCTTCTTTTTGGGTCTGTACAGCTTACTCCAAAAGCTGAAATAGCACGTTCGAAATGAAAAATTTCTTTGACTGCAGGTAGACAAGATGCAACAATAGAATTGGTGTCGTTTCGAACGTGGCCATTTGGATCGGCCGGCCGGCCACTGACTTTTTATGAGAGTGTCCCGCACCAATCCCGCACCGCTGCGTCGTTGTTTTTGTTGTTGTTTTGTTGAAAATTTTTGTTACTCTTCAAATTGGAGTGACCCTGGGTGAGGCGCCCATGGGCGATCCATGGGCGGTCCATGGGAAATTGAAAGCGGATATCTATGGACAGTCCATGGACGGCCCATGGACGGCCCATGGAGGGTCCACACTGGCTGCATATTGCTCTGGCAAAGTCCTCCCACTATTAAGCAGTCTTTCCAAGTCAGAATAACATGGTGGGCTCTACATGAACTTTTCGCGCTTCACTCAATTCTAAATTCAGATTTTGTTTCGGACTAACGGCTCAAAAGTTAAAAGGACTTTGTGAAAATTACTTGGAGACTTAGATGCACGAGGAAGTCATTGTCAATTGGCCGTCCATGGACCGTCTGAGGATGACCATTGGTTGTCCATTTGTAATGGATGACCCATGGGCCAACCATGGATTGTCCATGGCCTGTCCACGGATCGACCATGGTCACCCCTTCACGACCATAGGCACCAATGGATTCACCATGGGTGTCTAAGGTTGCAGTATGGACGGACCATTGGTCGCCCATGGGCGCCTCACCCAGGGGAATTGAGCCATTTAACTGCGTACCTGTGCACATGCATCTGTGAATTATCTTTCCTTAATGTAGTTTAAGAGTCGCTTTAAGACTTTTAGTCTCTTTTTGAATAAGCTGGTCATGTAGCTGCTCCTTTTAGCCAGGTTTGATGGTACTTCTGATTCAGTTAGCACCATGATCACTTCGCTCCACCTCGCGACTTTCAGTGCTCATGTTCCTCGAACAAGACTCACCCGCGTTTCGAGACCATCCCTCTCGAGTTTATAAAGTTTGTCAAGCCAACCGTCGTGGTGTTGCTACGTTGTGAGTGAGAACTATTACACAGAATTGAAGAAAACATGACTAGAGAACCGTAGCCTTTTGAAACAAGCCAAACAATTCAACGTCAGCAACAATGGAGGGGCAGTTTTAATGCGCGACTATACTCGTGTTTTCGGCTTCGCGATTTTCGCAAGGGCGCAGACGCCGACAAAATTGTTGCCAACCCGCGAAAATTAATTTACTGCCTTCTTTCTGCTACCAAAATTTTCATAATGATGGACTTCAAAGATGTTCCTTTGTCAGATCACTGTGGAATACATTAGCATTGGAATTTTTCGAATTTCCCGGCATTTTGATTTCTCTTTATTGCCAAGGTTAAATTTTGACGGGTGGCACATCGACCACATTGGTACCACTGCCGCCGTTCGTAGCCACCCTTGAGCCACGCCCTACCTTTTACATAACTTTTTTGCTTTCCCCACTCTCCTACCCAAATTGACTTCGTGACTCCTAGGATTTCTTGAAATCGTATTTTTAATTTCTGCTTTATTTGCCCTTGTTTAGAAAATAACAAGCAGAATCGTAAAACTGCAAAAAATAACAGGAAAAGTAGCGATATACATCGGCAACTTTGGCCCGTCCCGTACATAAACAAATGCGTGAATTTCGCCTTTGTTGAACCCTGACGGGTTTGAACCTGAGTCTGGGGTCAAAATAGATGTTATTTTCGTCATCAGCGCCCTCAAAAAATCAGAAACAATGCAGAAACTCGAATAAAAAGAATGTTCAAAATATACCCCACTAGGATTTGAACCCGGGTCCAAACTTCTCCGATTCGCTTGAAACTGGCACCGTTGGTTTTGTCTCGTCGCCCCGATTCCAAAAATACCCCTACATGCCCTGCTAGCTGAATCCGTTGCCGAAATCCTCCTCGACCCCATGTAGACCATGATAAACCTGCAGCAGCGCCCCCGGAGCTCGGATCGGATTTGCTGCCACCGGGCGGTTCTTAGGGTCACCCAAGGAGGCTGCGTACCAAATTTGGTCAAGATCGGACCACGGGAAGTCCTCGGACGAACGAACGGACGGACGCACAGCATGCATCATACTATATGCCCGCACCTCCGTCATTTTTTTACAAATAACAGGAAAAGTAGCGATATACATCGGCAACTTTGGCCCGTCCCGTTCATTAAGAAACGTACGAATTTCACCTATGTTTGACCCTGACGGGAATTAAACCTGAGTCTGGGGTTAAAATAAATGTCGTTTTCGTCATCAGCACCCTCAAAAACATCAGAAACAATGCAAAAACTCAAATAAAAAGAATATTTAAAAATACCCCGCTGGGATTTGAACCCGGGTCCGAACTTCTCCGATTCACTCGAAACTGGCACCATTGGTTTTCTCCCGTCGCCCCGATTCCAAAAATACCCCTACATGCCCTCCTAGCTGTATCCGTTGCCGAGATCTTCCATGACCCCATGTAGACCATGATGCACCTGCAGCAGCGCAGCGCCCCCGGGGCTCGGATCGGATTTGCTGCCACCGGGCGGTTCTGAGGGTCACCCAAGGAGGCTGCATACCAAATTTGGTCAAGATCGGACCACGGGAAGTCATCGGACGGACGAACGGCCGGGCGGACGCACAGCAGGGATCATACCGGATCATACTATATGCGGGTGATTCCGTGCGAAGGGGGTCATTTCAGGTCACCGGGGCCTTGCGCCTGAACTGAGGGTGATTTGGTAGCTTGGGCAATTCAAATTTGTTTAACTAAACGAAGACCATGTCCTCATGTGGATAAGTCAATCTAACTTCTGTTTTTCTAGGTTTTGTAAGCTGCTAAAGTGTCGTCTTGTAAGTTCCGTCATGGTCACCAACACCTAAATGACAACATTGCCATGCTGTAGTATATGACTCAGCCACATCAAAAGAAAACTGGCTATTTCACTCTCTTCCCTGACTTATTCTTCACCAAATTACGGAAGGTGACCTTTGTATCATCACTTGTTGAACCCGAAACAGCCTATGAGAAAATGTCCACCGTGTGACCATGTGACCTATGTTGCTTTCACAACTGACGGTCTACTGGGGTTCCTTTTCGTTTTAGAACGTTACGACCACTTGGGACCGAAAGAACATAAAAAACGCTTCCAGAAGCCTGTGCCCGCGGGACCTGGGGCGGTGTAACGACGCTTCCAGGCCGTCAGAATTGTTCAAAACGGTAAGGGTGTAAAAATAGATGTAAATTCCGTTTCGGGCCGTAGCTCCTCCATCTAAGGGAGAAAGTTCCCACAACCTTCGCTGAAAAACGCTATTTTGGATGCTCAAAGTGACACCGTCAACAGTTTCTACCTATCTTGCAACCCAGCGGGTCAGGAGACTAAACATTTCGCTTTGTAAATTCCGTAATCTGTAAATTCCGTCATTATTTCTGTAAATTCCGCCGTATTTCATAGGGGGTGAAATTAAAAGTCAACTTGTAGCGCTGCCACGCTCAGAGGGGTACTGTGGGGTACTATGTATGCCATCTACACCAAATTTAGCCCCTCAAGTTGAACTTTTAAAAAAACATTTGGTACATCCAAAATGACCCTCTACGCACGGAATCACCCATGCCCGTCCCTCCGTAATTTTTTTACAAAAAATTAAACGGGACGGGCCAAAAAAATGAACGGAACGGGCCAAAAAAGCAGAATCAAAAATTACATACTGTTTGTGCCAAAAAAAGTAACACTATTTTGTCCGTCATTTGACAAGAACTTTTTTACAGAGTTCATTGCCTATCATGGGAGGAGGCCGGTTGCTGAATAATTTAGGCCCCGAAAGTAGGCGCCATTTGGCGCCCTAAAAACTAGGGTAGGCTTAAAAGGCACACAGTTTGAGGGCATGTCATATTTTGAGTGTACTGTCCCGCTTTGATGGGCACAAACAGGGATACCTCGCACAACGTAAGTTGCGCAATAGACAGCCTCAAAGTTTAGTTACAAAAAGAGCCTAGTCAGGACCAGAATGAGACTGGGCGATTTCTAAAGTGAAGTAGATTGCTATCAGCATACAGCAAATGATGGCTTGTTGACATTAAGTGAGAGTAATCTACAACACAACCAGGTCCGATAAACCTGGTCAAACAGCGGAGTACCTGGTCCGATCTCTTCAAATATAGCAGGTGCCATCCACTTCACAGTCAGCTCTCCGTCGACACCGCAGCAACATGGTTCGTGCTCTGTTCGTTCTCGTCGCCCTAGCGGCGACTGCCTACGCCCGGGCCTGAATAAAATTTCATGTCTTCTTTTGCCAACTTTTAGCATTATTTGAGCAGATAAAATTTGTGTAAGGTCTGTTACCAATACATGTCCACATCAAATTACTTTAAAACATTGAGCGAGATATGATGTGTGCAAATTAAAAGTTTCCCCCAACATTCTAATGGTAAAATTGTTTAAAGAAGGTTGATGCACTGCTGAATTGAACTGTAAAGGCTAAGAATTTTTGTTTTTGAAAGAAACTTGAGTATTGATATTTTACTTTTTCTTCATAATGATTTGAAAATTTCAAGGCAGTTGAAAGCGAAAAAACAAGCGATAGACTCCACGCAAAGGAACATTTACAATTTATTTCACCAAAAACGTGTGTACGGGCAGGCCCTGCTCAGACGTAGAGATTGAGTTGTGATCAAGGCGGCAATGACTTACAGATATACAACAAGCTAGGGCCCGCCCTTCCGTCGAACCGAGTTGCCAGCTCCGCTTCGCTGCGCCGGCAACTCGGTTCGACAGGGGGCCGGCCCAGCTTGGCCTGCCGGCGGCCTTTTCTCGGGCCTTCGGCCCTCGCATCAGACCCAACTTGGCCAGTCGAAGGCCCGGGCCTTCGGCCCGCTCGCATCACACACCCCGTGAGCGGGTAAAGCAAAGTTATCGATGTACCATCGTGACTTAGGCCCGCCCTTCTGTTCACAATATGCAATAGTCCTTACACTTTTTACTCCAACTGTCCTTAGAATATGCCCATTTCATTTGTCTCTTCGCCCTCATTCCGAAAATACCCATATTAGCCATGCTACTGCAACTCCTTGCAATAGAGGCACAGCAGGAGCGCAAAACGAGTCCGTCGCACTTTTTGGCCCGTCCCGTTTATTTTTTGTAAAAAAATGACGGGGGGACGCACAGTGGTCTGGGTGACCGATTTAGGCGGACAAAATAGGCATTTCTATAATCTGTTAAATATCAAATATATCGGCACAAACCGTTAGCATAATGTTTGGGAGAGTTCAAAACAACTCTTTTGGATCAAGGGGTCACCTTATTTTTCACACACGGGGTCTCAAACTTAATGAATGCGCCAACGCTAATTTTCACTTGAAAAAGTTGTCCACAAATTAAGTTCTGTAAAATTGAGTTTTGGTCACAGCTAATTTCTGAAGATATAGCGTGAAAGAGCGTTCTTTGGCGAATACATTTGATTACTCCCTTTTGGGATTCGACCAATTTTTCGTTTTGCTATCGACTCGCGAAGAAAGTGTTGAGCAAACGGTGAAATTCAAACATTTCTAGAAAGTTTCATTCGGCTTCATTCATTTTCATTTCTGGTCTTAAATGTCAGCAATATATTAAGGAAATCGATGCAGAAAGAACCATCTGCTAATATCTGCTACTCTAATTTCTGCACGGTCCAACGCAACCACGGAACGCACAATGAGCGACACCGGCCGGCACACGCGCGCTCGGCGCACAGACGGACATAATACAATACTCCGGTAATACTCAGACAAAAATAATCAAACTGCTGAACGTCAGGTTTTACGGGTCGCTGAATCCGATTCTGTAAAAATTTTGAACCAGGGGCGGCTCAGTTTTCCAGAAAAGGGGGGTAGCTTTTGTTTTCAAGATCTGGCCTTCAAAAGAACAGTGGAAGGGTTTTGAGGACCGCTGAGTCTGATTCTGTAAAAATTTCGGACCAGGGGCGGCTCAGTTTTTCAGAAAAGGGGGTATTTCTTTTGTTTTTCAAGATATGGCCTTAAAAAGTACAGTAATTGGGTTTTGAATGCCGCTGAGTCTGATTCTGTAAACATTTTGGATAACAGGAGGCTTAGTTTTCCAAAAAGGGGGGTATTTTTGGAGTTTTATTTCCCTTTTCTGGAAAACGAACCGCCTCTGGTCCAAAATTTTTACAGAATATCAGACTCAGCGGCCCTCAAAACCCAGGAGCTGTACTTTTGAAGGCCATCCCGTACGAAAATGTTGGAGTCCGAAAAGCAGCCAAAAACAACCGTTTGCGGACCGTCCGAAACGGCTCCAAAAGTCGGACCGGGACAGTTCCTAAATCCGCCCTCGGACAGTTCCCAAAAACATTGAAAAAGACCAAAGTCAGAAAGATTCCGGACTTGTCCTGAGTACCAACGCTAGTCGAAAAACGGACAGTCCGAACAAATGCACCAGCCTGCTGCCCCTCGCCCCTCCCTTTCCCCCTTCCCCTTTCCCTTCGGACGCAGGTTGCTTCGGCCGGCCGGCCGGCCGGGGATTTTCCGCGGGAGCGCGCCCTAGCGCCGGCTGGGCTCACCCTACCTGGCTCGGCTGGGCGGCCACCACTGCCGTGGCGGCTCGGCTCGACTCGGCTCGGGGCACGGTGGCCGGTCAGACACGGCAAGGGACGCGATTTACAGCCTCCAGTGGAATATTACACACAAATTTTGATCATGCACTAACTGTAGCATACCTGCAAGTACATGCCTGCACAAGCGAACTCGTTGAAGCTGTTTGCAAATGATGGGAACACTTGGGGACGAGGGTGAAAGAGGAGAGGCGAATAAAATAATACACCTCCCACCCTCTCACCGCCCGTCCTTCAAGTTTGAGAGACACACACACTTGCGGTAGCCAGCAGCCAGCGGATAGTTGTTTGTTTGGGACACTTAGTACAGCAACGCACTCAAATTCGATCAATGTTTAGGAAAACGCCGTACACGACACCTCACCAAAAATTACTTCTAGAACAGTCGCGAATCGCCTGAACATCGCTCCGAGAAAGTAACGAGTGGAAAGTAGATGTGACTTGTGCGCGTTCCTCTATGTTCACTGATCACAGATGCGCTGCTGTGCGATGTGACTCGCTCAACAGCGCGCCGAAAACTGGCGAAAACTGCATCTCTGGCCGCGTCCGCCAGGTAACCTCGGCGACCCTTCGGGCCTTCGGCTTGCTTCGGCACGCCGGCGAGCGGCGTTTTCCGCGTACCCAGTTGCCGGGACGTCCGGGCGCCCCGACTCGGCCCGGGCCCGGGCCAGCTGCACCTAGGCAGGACTCTTTCGGACAGTCCTTGACTTTGAGTGGTTCAGAAACCAAGAAACGGAACTGTCCGGTCCGGACTCCGATTCGGCCCGGACTCTATTCGGGCCTAACCAGAGGGAAAGCGGAACTGTCCGGGGCTGGTGGACAAGTTTGGAATAGTCCTTGGCTAGGTTTCGGAACTCTTCGCTATTGTAAGGGATATCTTAAAAAACAAAAAAATACCCCCTTTTCTGGAAAACTGAGCCGCCCCTGGTCCAAACTTTCTACAGAATCAGACTCAGCGGCCCTTAAAACCAAGGAGCTGTACTTTTGAAGGCCATATCTTGAAAATAAAAAAATACCCCCTTTCTCTGTAAAACTGAGCCGCCCCTGGTTCGAAATTTTTACAGAATCGGATTCAGCGACCCGTAAAACTTGACCTCCAGCAGTTTCATTAGTTTTGTTTCAGTATTACCGGAGTATTGAATTATGTCCGCCTAAATCGGTGTCCCAGACCACTGTGGGACGGGCATATAGTATGATGCATGCTGTGCGTCCGTTCGTTCGTCCGTTCGTTCGTCCGTCCGAGGACTTCCCGTGGTCCGATCTTGACCAAATTTGGTATGCAGCCTCCTTGGGTGACCCTAAGAACCACCCGGTGGCAGCAAATCCGATCCGAGCCCCGGGGGCGCTGCTGCAGGGGCATCATGGTCTACATGGGGTCAAGGAGGATTTCGGCAACGGATACAGCTAGGGGGGGCATGTAGGGGTATTTTTGGAATCGGGGCGACGAGACAAAACCAACGGTGCCAGTTTCAAGCGAATCGGAGAAGTTTGGACCCGGGTTCAAATCCCAGTGGGGTATATTTTGAACATTCTTTTTCTTCGAGTTTTTGCATTGTTTCTAATGTTTATGAGGGCGCTGATGACGAAAATAACATCTATTTTGACCCCAGACTCAGGTTCAAACCCGTCAGGGTTGAACAAATGCGAAATTCGCACATTTGTTAATGTACGGGACGGGCCAAAGTTGCCGATGTATATCGCTTCTTTTCCTGTTATTCCCATAACTCATGAAGGCGGGCTCCTGGACCCCCCTTCCGACCCCTCGTTGAAGAGGTCTTGCCAAGACCTATCCAAAACTTAAGTAAAAATTTTCAGTCGGTCGACCCCCTTTTTTCAAGATCCTGATGTGACTAATAGACGAAGTCGGGCTCCTGGACCCCCTTTCCGACCCCTCGTCGAAAAGGTCTTGCTGAGACCAATCGAAATCTGCAATAAATTTTTTTAGTCGGTCGACCGGAGTGCATCGCTACACCGACCCCTGTTTTGACCTACCCCGGCTTTTTTTTTCACCGACCCCTTGAAAATATCTTTTTTTTGACCGACTCTTCAAACACCAAATTATACCGTTTTTGTTACACCGACCCCGCATTTGACCGACCCCGCATTTGACCGACCCCGCATTTGACCGACCCCGCATTTCATCGAAGCCAAATTTCACCGACCCCTAAAATAAGCGTCAAAAATGTCCCTTCTCGGGGACCACCCAGCGTGGCTGTGTCAGCCTCAACCAGCGTGGCTGTCTCAGCCTCAACCAGCGTGGCTGTCTCAGCCTCAACCAGCGTGGCTGTGTCAGCCTCAACCAGCGTGGCTGTGTCTGCCTCAAACAGCGTGGCTGTCTCAGCCTCAACCAGCGTGGCTGTCTCAGCCTCAACCAGCGTGGCTGTGTCAGCCTCAACCAGCGTGGCTGTGTCAGCCTCAACCAGCGTGGCTGTGTCAGCCTCAACCAGCGTGGCTGTCTCAGCCCCAACCAGCGTGGCTGTCTCAGCCCGAACCAGCGTGGCTGTCTCAGCCTCAACCAGCGTGGCTGTGTCAGCCTCAAACAGCGTGGCTGTCGCAGCCTCAACCAGCGTGGCTGTGTCAGCCTCAAACAGCGTGGCTGCCTCAGCCTCAACCAGCGTGGCTGTGTCAGCCTCAAACAGCGTGGCTGCCTCAGCCTCAACCAGCGTGGCTGTGTCAGCCTCAAACAGCGTGGCTGTCTCAGCCTCAAACAGCGTGGCTGTCTCAGCCTCAAACAGCGTGGCTGTCTCAGCCTTAAACAGCGTGGCTGTCTCAGCCTCAACCAGCGTGGCTGTGTCAGCCTCAAACAGCGTGGCTGCCTCAGCCTCAACCAGCGTGGCTGAGTCAGCCTCAACCAGCGTGGCTGTCTCAGCCTCAAACAGCGTGGCTGTCTCAGCCTCAAACAGCGTGGCTGTCTCAGCCTCAACCAGCGTGGCTGTCTCAGCCTCAACCAGCGTTGCTGTCTCAGCCCCAACCAGCGTGGCTGTCTCAGCCTCAACCAGCGTGGCTGTCTCAGCCTCAAACAGCGTGGCTGTCTCAGCCTTAACCAGCGTGGCTGTCTCAGCCTAAAACAGCGTGGCTGTCTCAGCCCCAAACAGCGTGGCTGTCTCAGCCTCGACCAGCGTGGCTGTCTCAGCCCCAAACAGCGTGGCTGTCTCAGCCTCAACCAGCGTGGCTGTCTCAGCCTCAACCAGCGTTGCTGTCTCAGCCCCAACCAGCGTGGCTGTCTCAGCCTCAAACAGCGTGGCTGTCTCAGCCTTAACCAGCGTGGCTGTCTCAGCCTAAAACAGCGTGGCTGTCTCAGCCCCAAACAGCGTGGCTGTCTCAGCCTAAAACAGCGTGGCTTTCTCAGCCCCAAACAGCGTGGCTGTCTCAGCCTCGACCAGCGTGGCTGTGTCAGCCTCAACCAGAAAGGGTCATCGCCCTCCCTCTCTGTCGCACTCCCGGGGTGCAGGTGCAAGAGAGACAGAGCGGCATAAGGCGGCCGGCCACGGCCGGCGCTCGGGGGGTTCACAGCCGCTTCAGCCACAAACGAAGAAAGGGGGTATAAAAACATATCTTTCTGGTTGAGGCTGACACAGCCACGCTGGGTGAGGCTGAGACAGCCACGCTGGTTGAGGCTGACACAGCCACGCTGGTTGAGGCTGAGACAGCCACGCTGGTTGAGGCTGAGACAGCCACGCTGGTTAAGGCTGAGACAGCCACGCTGTTTGAGGCTGACACAGCCACGCTGTTTGAGGCCGAGACAGCCACGCTGGTTGAGGCTGAGACAGCCACGCTGGTTAAGGCTGAGACAGCCACGCTGGTTGAGGCTGACACAGCCACGCTGGTTGAGGCTGAAACAGCCACGCTGGTTGAGGCTGAGACAGCCACGCTGGTTGAGGCCGACAGAGCCACGCTGGTTGAGGCTGAGACAGCCACGCTGGTTGAGGCTGAGACAGCCACGCTGGTTGAGGCTGACACAGCCACGCTGGTTGAGGCTGAGACAGCCACGCTGGTGGAGGCTGACACAGCCACGCTGGTTGAGGCTGAGACAGCCACGCTGTTTGAGGCTGAGACAGCCACGCTGGTTGAGGCTGAGACAGCCACGCTGGTTGAGACTGAGACAGCCACGCTGGTTGAGACTGAGACCGCCACGCTGGTTGAGGCTGAGAAAGCCACGCTGGTAGAGGCTGCGACAGCCACGCTGGTTGAGGCTGAGACAGCCACGCTGTTTGAGGCTGACACAGCCACGCTGGTTGAGGCTGAGACAGCCACGCTGGTTGAGGCTGAGACAGCCACGCTGGTTGAGGCTGAGACAGCCACGCTGTTTGAGGCTGACACAGCCACGCTGGTTGAGGCTGAGACAGCCACGCTGGTTGAGGCTGAGACAGCCACGCTAGTTGAGGCCGAGACAGCCACGCTGGTTGAGGCTGAGACAGCCACGCTGGTTGAGGCTGAGACAGCCACGCTGGTTGAGACTGAGACAGCCACGCTGGTTGAGGCTGAGACAGCCACGCTGTTTGAGGCTGACACAGCCACGCTGTTTGAGGCTGAGACAGCCACGCTGTTTGAGGCTGACACAGCCACGCTGGTTGAGGCTGAGACAGCCACGCTGGTTGAGGCTGAACAGCCACGCTGGTTGAGGCTGAGACAGCCACGCTGTTAAGGCTGAGACAGCCACGCTGTTGAGGCTGACACAGACACGCGTTGAGGCTGACACAGCCACGCTGGTTGAGGCTGACACAGCCACGCTGGTTGAGGCTGAGACAGCCACGCTGTTTGAGGCTGACACAGCCACGCTGGTTGGGGCTGAGGCAGCCACGCTGTTTGAGGCTGACACAGCCACGCTGGTTGAGGCTGAGACAGCCACGCTGTTTGAGGCTGACACAGCCACGCTGTTTGAGGCTGACACAGCCACGCTGGTTGAGGCTGAGACAGCCACGCTGGTTGGGGCTGAGACAGCCACGCTGGTTGGGGCTGAGACAGCCACGCTGGTTGAGGCTGACACAGCCACGCTGGTTGAGGCTGAGACAGCCACGCTGTTTGAGGCTGACACAGCCACGCTGGTTGAGGCTGAGACAGCCACGCTGTTTGAGGCAGACACAGCCACGCTGGTTGAGGCTGAGACAGCCACGCTGTTTGAGGCTGAGACAGCCACGCTGGTTGAGGCTGACACAGCCACGCTGGTTGAGGCTGACACAGCCACGCTGGGTGGTCCCCGAGAAGGGACATTTTTGACGCTTATTTTAGGGGTCGGTGAAATTTGGCTTCGATGAAATGCGGGGTCGGTCAAATGCGGGGTCGGTCAAATGCGGGGTCGGTGTAATAAAAACGGCATAATTTGGTGTTTGAAGGGGTCGGTCAAAAAAAAAGATATTTTCAAGGGGTCGGTGAAAAAAAGCCGGGGTGAGTCAAAACAGGGGTCGGTGTAGCGATAGCTACCCCGGTCGACCCCCTTTTTTTGAAGATCCTGATCTGGCCAACTTGTAAAAGTGGCCGATGGGGTCGGGACCGGGTCCATTCATCTTGTCTCGTCGCCCCGATTCCAAAAATACCCCTATGTGCCCTGCTAGCACCAATAATGGCGGAAATCCCCCTCCCGCTCATGTAAACCATGATGCACCTGCAGCAGCCCTTGTGCGACCCGGACGGGATTTGCACCACCGGATTATTTGTTTGGACGGTACTCCTGAAATACCCTCCAAATCTGGTTACTCTAGCTCAACTCCTTCCTTGTACACAGACGCCAACAACAACAACAACAACACACAGACACAAAGGCAAATGCATAGGCCCTCCCCCTATTTTTTGAATAGAAGGGCGGGCCAAAAATACAAGAATACAAAAATGCAAGTGCAGAGATACAAACTAATAAAAATGGTAACACATTCACTGGTAGAACTCACGCGTACTTTTAAGCCTTTCTTCAAGCGTAGGAGAACTACGCTCGGCTTCATGCGTAGTTCTACCCCTCTCCGCCTATGGACGTTGCCAAAATTGTGGGTCCTTTTGAGTCTTTGGGCCACAGTTTTCTTGTTTTTCAACGTATCGACCTGCGGTTTGATTCCTACGACTGGGCTTCATCTCCCCTACTATCCCACACACTAACCGGGCAAGCAGTTCAAGCATTTCCCTGTCAAAACAGGCTAAAGCTGGTCAAAATGTTACTTCCATGCTGTCCATTGTCCAAAAAGTCCGTGTTCCAGGGCAAAAATCTCCTGAACTGTTTGTCGGAGAGCAAATCCACGAACAGGCTTTTGTTCCGTTGGCAATCATTTATGACACCCTTTGACAGCAATTTACTCCAGTGACTCACACCTCCTGCTTTATTGGATGAAAAAAACCCACCGTGTACTGGCTTTCAAAAATCATCAAAGTTTCACGCCTCAGCGCCGAACCTTAGACCGTCCCTTATTTTTTCAAATTGAACCGAGGCAAAAGTTCGTGGTGCCAAATTGTTCCATTTGGTGAGAAAACACCTCTGCCAAAGTTTGGTGGCGCTACGATATCGCATGGCCGAGCCTGAGGGGCCTAAGTGCAAATTTCAAAAATCGGCTGATTTCGGAATTTGAAAGTTGTCTTCTAAGTAAACACGTCATTTTGATGCCCGTAGGGCAAAAATTTCAAGCGTTTTGCCGTAGCTCGAACCGTTATGGCCGGAACGGCGCTCTGAACGCGCTCCGCCACCGCGCGGATCGCCGATCTGGACCCAACTACGACGCTTTTGGGCTGCACCGAGCCGCCCCGGAGGGCAGTGGATCGCTGCGTCGCTGTCAGCACCTTCTCAAAACATGTGTTTGACTAATTGCATAGTAATTGGTAGGTTAGATTTCAATACAGATGTGGTAAAGACCAAATTTTACACCAAAACACGCGAAAAATGCTAAAATGGCTAAATTTGACACTTTGAGGGCATATTTCAGCATTTTCCTGTTGAGTAATCCCACTAACCACATTGGAATTTTCAGAGATAGTTCAGATACATGTTTAGGGAAGGTGCTGACAGCGACGCAGCGATCCACTGCCCTCCGGGGCGGCTCGGTTCAGCCCAAAAGCGTCGTAGTTGGGTCCAGATCGGCGATCCGCGCGGTGGCGGAGCGCGTTCAGAGCGCCGTTTCGGCCATAACGGTTCAAGATACGGCAAGACGCTTGAAATTTTCGCCCTACGGGCATCAAAATGACGTGTTTACTTGGAAGACAACTTTCAAATTCTGGAATCGGCCGATTTTTAAAATTTGCACTTAGGCCCCTCAGGCTCGGCCATGCGATTTCGTAGCACCACCAAACTTTGGCAGAGGTGTTTTCTCACCAAATGGAACAATTTGGCACCACGAACTTTTGCCTCGGTTCAATTTGAAAAAATAAGGGACGGTCTAGCCGAACCTGTTGCGAGAAAAGTTCGGCTCAACCCCCAGAATGAGCAGCACGGTTTCCTCTTTCCGGCGCGGCGGGCGGATTTTCGCTGGAGGGCTCCATTCCGGCTGGCTGGACCATCAAAGGTAAGAATCCGGCATGTGGCAGGTTTGTGTGTAACATTCCGTGTCATCAATAGCCAGCTTTCTACTCGGCCCATCGATTTCGGTCCACCTGGCCATTTTGTGCCTTCACGTCTTCTACACTTGCCTTGTTAGTATGAGTCCCGGACGGAGGAGTCTGGCTTTCAAGTGCCCGCACTGCGTCGAGTTGGCGAGGCAGCGCGATGGCCTCACCGACCACCTCAACACAGAGAGAAGCTCCAGACAAAAAAACCACTAGGAGCGGGCGCTTGTGGTGTTTTATCGGTTCCTTGTATGTATACGAACTGCCGAAAAGACACTTGGACGAAGTCCGACACCCCCTGTGGATTTGGTAAGGGTCTAAACACCCCAAAAACAGCTTTTTTCGAGGGTTTGGGACTAGATGGGTTCTCGCAAACCGAGATCCAAAAAAGTACCCAAATGGGTCTTAGATACTCAAAAAAATGTGCTCTTTCGAATGCCGTGTCGAACGAGGCTCTACGACGTCGGGTTTGGATGCTACGGGCTCTCAAAGTTGCTCAATTTCACTATTTTTACTGAAGATTTGAGCATATCAGGGCCGTTTGAAGTAGACCATCGGCGATTTCGCTCCTCTTTGTCTTAAATGGTGCCTACCCATAGGTAAACACCCCCACAAAATTTCAGCCATGTCAGGCAATCATTAGAGGAACTGTGAACAATTTATGTTTTGGGTCATTTTACCACTCGGCTTAGGTGGTTTTGGGTCCAGAAAAAATAATTTTTTTAGCTATCTACTTTTGATCAGCACCTCTTGAAACGCCTTTTGAACATGGTGCCTCAAAACTTTGTTCGAGGACAAACTTGGAGAAAAAGACAAAAAGACAAAAGTGAAATTGAGCAACTTTGAGAGCCCGTAGCATCCAAACCCGACGTCGTAGAGCCTCGTTCGACACGGCATTCGAAAGAGCACATTTTTTTGAGTATCTAAGACCCATTTGGGTACTTTTTTGGATCTCGGTTTGCGAGAACCCATCTAGTCCCAAACCCTCGAAAAAAGCTGTTTTTGGGGTGTTTAGACCCTTACCAAATCCACAGGGGGTGTCGGACTTCGTCCAAGTGTCTTTTCGGCAGTTCGTATACATACAAGGAACCGATAAAACACCACAAGCGCCCGCTCCTAGGATGTCGCCGACCAAGTGGTTTTTTTTGTGTGGAGCTTCTCAGAGCATGCAGCAGAGGTGGAGGACGCGATCCGAGGCATGAAGGGTGCACAGTCTCGGGCCGTCACGTATCGACTTCAGGGCCTCGGGTGATGGACGAGACTGCGTTCTCCGTACTGCTGTCTCGGCTGCGGCCCCTCATGAGTGGCAAGGCCTTTGAACTGACCACGTCGGCCCTGAATCAGACGGTGGCGCGAATGACGGGCTACATAGGACGCAGTGACGTCGTCATCTTTGATCCTCATGCAGACTACGTTTCCTTCCTGGAAACCGCGATGGGGTAAATAAAAGCCTGCAGTCAGAAACAAAACACAAAGTTAACCTCATTTTCCGTGATGATTGTTAAACACGAAACCTTGTGCTATTTGTTTTGTGCAGAGACGGGGACTTAATTGCCGTCGACCAAGAAGACAACCGAAGGAGTCTGAAGAAGAAATAGGCGGAGAGGAGCAAGAGGAAGAAGATGATGGCACGGACAACAGTGAAGACAGTGATTAAGTATGTTAAATGTTAACAAAACTATGTAAAATTCATATGAAATTACGTTCCTTTTTTGGTTAACCACAGACTTTCCTATTTACACGATTTTTCAAGTAGGAGATGGGTTTTCATAAAGAACAAAGATCGCAAACAGGGTTTGCAATTAGCATGAATTTCATTTAATGAGATGATTAAATTTGAAAATGGTAGAATATTTTGTTGGCTGAGCGATAGCGAAGCCTGTTACTCCAGTGGGGTCGAAAAGTTTTTTCTGTCTGTCTGTGTGTCCGCACTACTCCTGAACGGCTCGGCTGATCTCGGTGAGATTTTGCACACCTTTTGGGCATGTCCTTGGCTCGGCACAGGCGAAATTTTACTATACTAGGTCAACTGGTTCAGTTTTTATAGCCGAAAAACACCTGAAAACGGCAAAAAATCGACTTTTCTGTCTTGAAGAAAGAAGGGTCTGGGGGGCGAAGCCCCCTAGCTAGGGTGGTCCACTTTTTTTAAAAGTTTCAAAAATTGAGGAGCGCCGTTCATATTCTGAAAGTAGGTGTAAAATCATGAATTTTGATACAAATATGATAAGATTTGGACCATCCTTAGGGGTCCATCAACGCGCCTGAACTTTAAAGAAAAGTTGAAAATGTAGCGGTATACTAAAATCGATGCTGTTACGAGAGTCTTTGTCCGATTTTCGATTGCAAAACGGCGATCTTTTCAGAAAAGTGCGCTCTACTTGATGATGTACATAAAATGACGATCCGACGCATTGCCTATTTTCCAGGGGCGTACAATCCCGTTTTTAGCCTCTAAATCCAACATGTTCTTGCGTTTTGAAGGTGTTTGAGTCGTCCGATCGGATTTTTTGGGTCACCATTCGACGCGCCTGATCAAAACCTTTCAAAAATGGCTCAGGCGTCAAAGTCGGTTGGTTTGCCTACTGTACAGGAGCAAAAAACCACTGAAATTCGCTTAAAAATTGCTTTTTCGGGATACGAAATATCCTGTTTGGCATTGGGTCGGATTTCTTGTGGTGCCATTTGTCGCGCCTGGTCAAAAACTTCCAATTACCGTCCTGGGTGTACAAATCCGGTGGATTGCCGACCCTACAAGCAAAAAATGTCGAATGTCGAAAACTTCGTCTGTAGGATACGCGACCCTCTGGATTCAAGCGCTCGAAACGGTAATCGAATGTTTTTGACCGGGTACGTCAAATGGCACCACAAGAAATCCGACCCAATGCCAAACAGGATATTTCGAATCCCGAAAAAGCAATTTTTAAGCGAATTTCAGTGGTTTTTTGCTCCTGTACAGTAGGCAAACCAACCGATTTTGACGCCTGAGACATTTTTCGAAAGGTTTTGATCAGGCGCGTCGAATGGTGACCCAAAAAATTCGATCGGACGACTCAAACACCTTCAAAACGCAAGAACATGTTGGATTTAGAGGCTAAAAACGGGATTGTACGCCCCTGGAAAATAGGCCATGCGTCGGATCGTCATTTTATGTACATGATCAAGTAGAGCGCACTTTTCTGAAAAGATCGCCGTTTTGCAATCGAAAATCGGACAAAGACTCTCGTAACAGCATCGATTTTAGTATACCGCTACATTTTCAACTTTTCTTTAAAGTTCAGGCGCGTTGATGGACCCCTAAGAATGGTCCAAATCTTATCATACTTGTATCAAAATTCACGATTTTACACCTTCTTTCAGAATCTGGACGGCGCTCCTCAATTTTTGAAACTTAAAAAAAAAGTGGACCACCCTACCCCTAGCCTCGACAAGTTAAAAAGTTACAAGAATCAAGATCGTGTTATCTGTAGATGAAGCAACTGTATCCAGAATGAAGGGGCCCCCTAGCATGAAAGAAGTAGGAGGTAACGGGCGATGAACAAGCCAATTCCTGCGGAAGGCAGGCTCGCGCCGCAGGCCAAGGTAGGTACGCCTGGCGCGGATTGGAGGAACAGGCCGCGAGACATCGCGAAGCCTGTTACAAGACGCGGTCTGGCGTAAACCTACCTTGTTGTATTTTTCGGTGTTTTCACTTTGATTTTTTTAGGGCTGAAGTAGCAGTTGAGCGATTCTCACGTTTCGGGGTAGTTTTGGCGTCTCTGATTTGCCGAAAGTGAGAAATATCCAATTAAGTTTTTCTGATTCTTGGGGTCCTGGATGATACTAGAGTTATGGCAATGGTATTTATAGTAAAGACCTTGTACTACCTTCCTAAAAACATGAGCCATAAGGTATTCCCATACGTTTTAGTGGGTGTTTTGATCACGGAAATTACGTTATCACGGAAGTTACAAAGTGTGAAAATCGGCTTTAACGGCTGACTCGGGCTTGCTGTGGCTTAAAAGTCGTTCCAGGGTCAAATGATACTCTAAGCCCGACATTTAAGCGGAAAATTTTTTCACCTAGTGCTGCTGCAACATTGGGTAAAGGGTGCCACGGAAGTTACAGGTAATTGATGATACACGCCATTTTATAATGCTCTAGCCCGCATTGAGACCGTGTACAGCATCTTAGATTTCCGCGACCCATGCAATTATATCTCAGGGACTCCACTTTGATGGCTTGTGTCATGGAAAGTTTAAAGTTTGGCTTGGGGAGAAGTCCACAGCTGCCTTTTCGTAATTTGTGTAGTGAAATTGAATATACGGAGGACATTTTTCGTTGCAGCATAAGTACCTTTGAAAGAAGTCTGGCGTATTGGTCTTCGGTCGAAATTAGCTAGAGACATGCCAAGCTTCGAATCCCCATCGACAGTTGGCAGCATTTTCGAACCACACCACCACACTGGGGGCGGAAAGTTCGAGTATGTTCTCTTTGGACAATCACGGAAGTTACATTTAGGGTATTCCAAACGCTACGTAGACCAAACCAACGAACGTGAACTTTTCGAAATGTGTGCGTTTAGTGGGCAATGGCCCTCCCTAACATCAGAAACAAACCCCATGTCGATATCTGCGCTCGTTTGGGCACAGGAGTCAGAAGAAACGAAACTACCCCGAAACGTGAGAATCGCTCAGTTAAGGGATTGCCAATGAGTTTAATGCACCCTTTATGTGATGCTCTTTCGATATGTGCAAAGCTATTTGCGAGCAATGGCCTAGTTTGAATAATCTCGACGAAGTCCGTGACACCTGCACGGAGCAAGATCGGAGCGAGAGCTTCGCCTCACTGCCGCTTTATGGTGTTACCGACCCCTGCTATGAGGCAGCTCCATAAAGGTAGAAAAGCAGTAGTGTCTCAAGTTACCCTTGCTGTCACAAGTTACCCCGGTTTACACTGTGGCAAAAAGCTACGGAAAATTCTGTACACAGCTTGTGTTAATTCTCCGTAGCCCCGTTATCAATATTCTCCGTAGGCTCTTACAGTGATCTCCGTAGGACTATACAGTCTTCCAGGTCCTACGGAGAAGACTGTGCGGACTTACAGAGAATACTGTACGGCCCTACGGAGAATACTGTAAGAGCCTACGGAGAATATTGATAAGAGGGCTACGGAGAATCCTGGCAAAAAAATTAACAGAATTTTCCGTACCTTTTTGCCACAGTGTACGGTACCCTTTGTTTGTGGTTTTCACGCTCAGCCTCTTTCATAGCAAGTCCTGACCGCTTTGCCGAGCCCACTCTGCAAACTGAAGTGTGTACATAGTACACTCTTACTGGAGCATACTTCTAAGTACACTCTTATTTACAGCATACTTGCTAGGCACACGCTAAAATAGAGTGTACATTGCATGTACACGCTAAATAAGAGTGTACCTGGAAAGTACACTTAAACTAGCCCATGCTTTTAGATAGGGCTAATCGACTGTATTTTAGCGTGTACTTGCAAGGTACACACTTATTTAGCGTGTACATGCCAGGCACACTCTATTTTAGCGTGTGCCTAGCATGTATGCTGTAAATAAGAGTGTACTTGGAAGTATGCTCTAATAAGAGTGTACTATGTACACACTTCAGTTTGCAGAGCAGCTATGCCCAGCCCATCAGTAGATGTGCTTGTAATGGATGCCTGAACCAAGGGCTGAGCCTTCAATTCCGGACTTTTCATGGCTGCTGGACGAGACACCTCCACCCTACTTCAAGACAGTTGCTTCTGAGCCACAGCATTTAAAGAACTCGCGTTCAGGTGCATCTCAGAGGTCACCTTCCCGAAGGAGCTCTTTCTTGGACAGATCCTCTTCAGTGGACAGGTGTCCATCTGCTAGCAATGGAAGATCAGGAACCCCGGACTAGTCCTTCATAGGTAGCAGCCCTCCATCCAAGAAGAGCCCAGGTGATTTTATTTTTTATTAAATTTTATAAAGGTCCTTATAAAAATTCATTGGAGTTTTATATGATGAAGTAAGCTTTTATAAGGGCATTCGTATAAAATTTCATAACATTTTATTAAGATCTTTATAAAATTTTATAAACACCTTTATTAAATCTTATACATGACTGTATATAATTATATACAGCGGTATGCAATCTGTATATGGTTGAATGAATCGATTGGTCATGTATTAAGTTTTATACAGGTGTGTATAAAGTTTTATAAAGGGTTTTATAAAAGTTTATACAGGGTTTTATAAAGGTTTATACAGGGTCCCTTATAAATTTTAATACAAGTTTGTACATTTTAATTAAAACTTAATAAACATTTACAAATGTTTATAAGAACCTTTATAAAATTTTATAAAAAATACTCGCGCTGCTCGCTGGGGGCTCCGCCCCCAGACCCCCGCATGTGTGGAGCGCGTGCCGAAGTATTTTCAGTAAGTCCGTGGTGAACAAAGGCAAATTTTCTAAGGAAGTAAATGTCCTGCTTCTTTGAAAGCTCTATTTAACCGCTTTTGACCATATAATAAGGCTACTTTTACTGCCCAAATAGATAGCTTGTATTGCATTGGCTACTGTGGCAGTCAATGGGTGCATACAAGGTCCGGAAAATATTGAAGACTGCTTTGACAAGGATAGAGGTGAAAGGAAAAAAACCTTAAGTCTCTACGACCACTCCTCGACCCCAAACATTTCTTTGAGTG